CAATACCTAGAAAAATTGAGTCTTAATCTTGTTTTGGCCTTCATTTACTGGAGTAATGTATACAATAGTTCACAAAATGAAAATTCAGAAACCAAACTTAATGCTCTGTTTTCTGAAGTAGGCCTTTATTTTAAAATTTTGGAACAAGTTGCTTTATTTTATGAAGAAAGCCTCTTAAGTATATCTTAGCTTTAACTCCTGTAGATATTGTAATTTAAACACTAATCTAATATGCACAATTGCATTTAGTAGTTTATACAATGTCCCCCTACAAGAGTCTCATGGGCACCTATACACATGCATCGAGGCTGCTCCAATGCACTGTAATTACAGCACGGTGGACCAGACTTGATTAACTGATTGAGTCTTCTGGAGTGTGGTAATTACCACCCTCCAGCAGACTGCAGTGTCATGTTGTATCAGCATCCCCAGAATTTGACAAGCTTTAGAGTGCCTCCACTACCATTTTTCAGACCGGGCACGCTGATACACATGACACTCTGGGCGCTTTAATAAAGTGGCTCTCAGAGCCGCTCTAATTAAAGCATGTCCCCCCTGCCCCACCTCCCAGAGCACATGTATACAAGACCAGGGTTATTAACTGACCCTGATAGTCCTGTTTTACTAGGACACCACAAAACTAAGTTAAGGCAAAAAATGCTATAAATGTCCCAAAGAATTCCATGACTGTCATACGTGCTCCTATGGTGGATTCTTCCTCTGCAACTTTTCAGCAGTCTTGGAGGGATCTGAATAAAGAACCTGAGGCCGGACAGATGCTAACTTTGTAATGATAGAAATGGCATTGTTGTGGTACAGGAAGCAAGCATGCAAAAGTGCACACCATGTGTAGCATTACAAAAATGGCAGATCCGCAACAACAATATTCCTTGATCCAAAGGATTTTTTTTGCAGCAGGACATTTTGTAGTGCCACATGTAACATTTGTCTAGTGCAGAAGTGGGCAAAATATAGCCCATGGGCTGGATGCGGCCTGCCAAATGATTTTACCTGGCCTGCAGCTACTTGAAGGAGAATTGTATCTGGCCCGTGGCTGCCCTGGCTTTCGGTGCCTCTCTCCCTTCTCTCTTTCTCATCCCAACCAGCTGCAGCAGCCACTCCCCTCCCCTTCCTGGCCAGTCTTCCCTATCCCTGCCCCAGCGTAAGCTCCAAGGCACGGGGGACTGAGCTCCTGGCCAGGCTTCTGCCCAGCAAGGCTGTTTGCGCACTGCTCCAACCCTGTGCCTCCCTCCCTCCCTCCCTGCCTGCAAAAAAACCCAACAAAAACCAAAAAAAGCCCTGTGTCTGGTGAGTCAAGGCATAGGTAAGGTTCTGCCCGCTGGCGGGGAATGGAGGTTCTGCCCGCTGGCAGGGGGAAGAGGGCCAGGAGCTGCAGGTTATCCAGGCTCTGCCAGGCTGGGGCCTGGTAGGAGTACGGGCACCAGTCCCGCATCGTGTTCCTGTGCACTGCTTTTGAGTGGCTGGTGTGGCTCCTG